GTTACTGGAAGGTTGCCAGATGGGAGGGGGAAAGGGGGAAAATGGGTGGAGAGGTGAGGGGATTATGAAGTACTAATAGGCCCTGGCTGGTGTGGCTCAGTGGACTGAGTGCTGACCTGTGAACCTAATGGTCACTAGTTTAATTCCCAGTCAAGGCATATATCTGGGTTGTGGGCCACGTCCCCAGTAGGGGGCACATGAGAGGTAACCACACACTGATAGTTCTCTCCCTCTCTTTCTCCCTCCCTTTCCCTCTCTCTAAAATTAAATAAAATCTTTAAAAAAAAAGAAGTATAAATATGTAGTTACAGAATAGCTGTGGGGGTGTAAAGTACCGTACATGAAATGGAGTAGCCAAAGAACTTACAAGCATGACTCATGGACACGAATAATGGTGGGAGAATTGCCTGAGTGGTGGGAGTAGGGGGCACTGGGTGGTGGGAGGGAAAAGGGGAAAATTCAGGACAACAGTAATAGCATAATCACTAAAATACAGTTTAAAAATATACAATGCAAAAGGCATACAAATCCAATATCTGCAAGTTTGTTTTAACCATGTGTAAACTAATTGTTTTCAAACATGATATTAATGGAAACAAGGCACAAAAAGCCCACTTTTTTTGTTTTTCAACAAAGTTGTTTTACTATTATGTAACTGCTTTTTTTTAAAATTAAATTATGATGAGTTCACTAAACTCTTCAAATGGTCTAGTTCTATTGCTGTATTGAGTAGAAAGCCTGATTTTAAATATGCCCACTAGAAACATTTACTAATAATCCAAAATGTTGTTTTTGGTATTCATACAGAAAGTGATATCATGCCCTGGCTGGTGTGGCTCAGTGGATTGAGTGCCAGACTGCAAATGAGAAGACCAATTCCATTCCCAGTCAGGGCACATGCCTGGGTTGTGGGCCAGGTCCCCAGTTGGGGGCGTGTGAGAGGCGGCTGATTGAATGTATCTCTTGCACATTGATGTTTCCCTCCCTCTCTTTTTCCCTCTCTTCTACTCTAAAAATAAATAAATAAAATCTTTTTTTAAAAGTAATATCGTCCATCATATTGAACAACTATTATATTTACTTCTTTAGTTAAAACTAGGAACACCTATAGACATAAAGTCAACAGTAGTATTCATAAAGTTACTCGATATTGCTATTAATTAAAAGCAATATTAAAAAAAAATTTTAGGGTAAGTATATTACATATAAATATACACACACATTTATACACTTTTTCTTTTTAAGTAAACAACTTAAGCAACTTAAGCTTCAAATATGCAATTAAATGCTTTTGAAGTTAGGTTCAAGCTTTATTATTTAATTGCTTAATTTAATATTTACTGTATTTACACAAATTGTAATCTATAGCTTACTGAATGCCCATGGTGTGCCATAGAAAATAATACAGGACTTGTTCCTCTGTTTGGGTCACCCACATGTGAATTTCCCAAAGCTTATTTCTACTAACCGTAATAAGCATAGCTGCTAAAAGACTCAGGTAAGTCCTATTTTCTTTTAAAATTAAAAAACTGTTTTGACATTCACAGAACTCCAACTGACATTACTCATTAAACTTTTAATATTGTCTCTTTTTTTCTCAATAAAATGAAATTCATTTTATTTTAAAGAACTTTTGTTAATTTTGATATTCTCCTTCATAGTTTTTTTGTAATCTATTTATTTTTAGAGAGAGGAGAGGGGGGGGTAAAGAGAGGGAGAGAGACATCAATGCGATTGAGAAACACTGATTTGTTGCCTTTCCTATGTGACCCCAACCAGGAGCTAATCCCTCCTCCCTGACCAAGAATCGAACCTGCAACTTTTTGCTTTGGGGGAAGATGTCCAGCCAACTGAGCCACACCACTCAGGGCCTTTCTCATTTTTTGGGGGGTGGGGTATTAACATCTGTCCTTTCTTTATAAAATGATAGTGGAAATTGATGGTGGTGGTAGTTTTCTCATATCTTTCTTGCATGTAAATTTCCCCAACATTTTTCTTGGTGGTGACATTTTCCCACTGTGGCCAGTGGGAAAGGTTACTCTGTAGCCTCCCTTGCCCTGTGCAGTTCAATGATGTGCTTTCACAAGTTTCTGTGATAGGTGATCTTATCTGAGCCTCTACACTTGACCACATGCTTCCTGAGAGCCCTGAAGCTCATGTCCATTCCCACGTTGCACCGAGAATCCAGCATCACAGTTAGAGGGGTCTTCATGGTTGTCAGTGGACTCTAGTTAAGCTCTCATTCCCCATTCTCCAAACAGGGCCCAAAGTTCTCTTTACAAATAGTCTCTCCCCTCTTACACACATGCAGATACACACACTCACACAGACATAATCTGTCCTTAAAACCTCTGATGTCCTCCACTGATCAGGGTGAAGATCTATATCCTTATATTAGTACGGTTTGATAGGTTTGTAAAAATAATGCCTACCTACCTTCTTTAGCTTCACTGTATGCCCATTTAGACCTCATTCTCTTTATAAATCAAATAAACCTCCTTCTATTTTCAGAAAAGTGCCATTTTATTCTTTGCCCAGAGAATGAACACACGCTCTGTCCTTGACCCAGTCCATTCCTGTCCTTGGCACAGAATTCAGCTTAAATCTTACCTCTTCTCCGAAGCTTCTTTGACTTATGTGCACTAAGTATGCTTTATTCCCCATTTATAATTAACTCTATCTTTAGTTATGTGATTATTTGCATGTCTAACTTTTAAACCCTGAGTTAGATGAAGATAAGGATCTCTTCTTTTTGGCTCACCATTTAACCCAGCACTTTGCTCAGTGCCTGCTATCCGGTAGATGTCAACAATAAATAAATATATGCATTTTATTGAATTTCTTTTTTATGAAATACTTATATAGTGTTTAGTAATGGTGGCAGGTGCCATTCTAAGTATTTTTAGAATGTTAGATTCTATAATCTATGAGCCCTGTTAACCCCATTTCAAGCACTTTCAGCTGTGTGTTTTGGATGGCATTTTAACCAACACTGTATCAAACCTGTGACATAGAGCACACATTTTAAATAGACAGGGTATGTTTCTGGGCCATTGTAAAGGTGAACCTTTAGAAAACTTTCTTGCGAACTCTACCCACGATCCTAAAACATGTCACCTAACACCCAAATTGCAATGTAGAGAGAGGTGGCAGAACTGCAAAGTTAACAGCAACACACTCACCTTGATATGGACCCATTTTTGAAATGACCCTTTTTAAACAATCTGGTAATGCCTAGGAGAAGTATGTCTTCAAGTACATCATATATTCACTAAATGAATAGTTGTTAGGTAATTGAGAAGTAGACAAAAACACTTTTAGTAACTGTTATGAGCACAGAGACCCATGTGGAAAATCTTCTAGTATTGAGTTCAACAAAACATAATCAAGCCACCAAAAGCCACCAAGCCACCAAAAGGAACTTGGAAAATGTTCTAAAATCATTCATTAATTTGAGTTTCTTAAAGAACGGTAAAGTGAATTCAATGTCCTTATTTCTCCCTTCTCCCTTGAATAAAAATCTTAAGACTGAGACAATCTCCTGAAGATTTTCACCGCTTAAGCCCGATTACATACTCATCCTTTCCTATCCTCAACTCTCTGATCACGTCATCTAGCTTCCTGGAACATGCACCAGGCTGGGCACTCGAATTTGTCTCAACTCTCAATGTCTGTTGTTGTTTTTTTTCCAAAACATTCAGAAGTCTTTTCTTTTCCATACTTCTCCTACTCTCCAATTACTTTCATGGTGAAATAAGGAGAAATTTTAATTTTTCTTCACACTTGCTATGGTGCATGTCAAACTGTAGTGTGCAAAGAGTCACCTGTTAGAACAGGCTCCTGAGCTCCACCAATAGGAGGTTACAGCTCAGTAGGTAAGGAGTCAGGTCTGTGAAATTGCATGACCTTCATGGTTTGTGTTTCCTGTCCTTTTTAAAAACTCTTTGCCTGACTCAATGTTTGTTTATCCTCTGTTTGCTTCTTGAAGTTTGATAGTTTTAGCTCTCACTTTTAGGTCCATTTCAGAGATTAGCTTTAGGTATGGTATCAAGTATGAAGAGAGGTTTATTTTTTCCCATACACATATCCAATTGATTCAGCATCATTAAATCACGCTAACCTATCTGTGACAATCAGTTAGGCCATGTATGTGTGGATATATGTCTAGTGTCTCTGTGTTCAAAGCTGTGTTGAATATTGTACTTTTACACTAATCCTTGAAACTGGTACTATTAGTCCTCCAAACTTTTTTTTTTTCAAAATTGTTTTAGCTCTTCTGGGTTCTTTGAATTTCCACGTAGATTTTAGAATAAGCTTGTCAATTCCTTTAAAATTAGCCCACCAGGATTTTGGTTGGTATTGCATTGGTTCAATATGGAGAAAACTGAATGAGCATTGCTAACTTAATCTTGAGACTTCCGAGTTATGCCGGGCAAACATCTCCCTTTGTTTAAGTTTTCTTTGATTTCCTTCAGCAAAGTTTTGTAGCTTTTAGTATATAGTTTTTACACATCTAATCTCTAGAGTTATAGGGCTATTTAAGTGTTCTATTTCTTAAGATTTATTTGGCAATCGCTGTCTTTTTTTAAAGATTTTATTTATTTATTTTTAGAGGGGAAGGGAAGGAGATAGGGAGAGAAATATCAATGTGTGGTTGCCTCTCATGCACCCCCTGCTGGGAACTGGCCTGCAACCCAGGCGTGTGCCCTGATGGGAATCGAACTGTGATACTCTGGTTCGCAGGCCCGCACTCAATACACTGAGCTACACCAGCCAGGGCTTTCTGTCTTTTTTTTAAGTTGCCCATACCAAAGAGAATTTGCCTTTATAAAAAAGCATCTCAAAACTGAGACGCTGCCAGACAAAGACCATGTGGTGATATCACTGCGCAACAGCCCTGCAAACTGCCAGGAGTCTAACAAACTTCTGCTCAGTACTCACTATTTTATTTGCTCTAATTTACCGAGATACCTTTCAGCAAGTAACTCTCAGGAAACAGACTGACATCAAGTTTTTAAATTTTACTCCAACTACTGTACCTTTTAAGTCACAATTTGTTCAAATTTTGGAATGGAAGGCATATTCAACTGTCAGTATAACTGTGAGTGACTTTTAACATCTATTCTTGTCCAGCTTAATAAACAGAATCATCTCCTTATACTCAGAAAATCTTGTCTCAGGGTAGAAAGAAAATGACAGGCTGTAACTGAAATTATTTTTATAGCAAATTGGGTAAATGCTGCCCTGTTTTTACCTATCCCGGAATACTACAACAGCAGTGATGTCTAAGAAATACCCATTACCCCAGACTGACATACATACAACTAAAGAACATAAGGAATTTAGTCAAATGTTAATAGGTAATTAATGGCTAGTTATCAGCCCAGTAGGGATCATTAATACTTTCCTTGCAGGGAAAAATCTGCTCTGGGCTTTGTTAATTTATACTCCACAAAAGTCTGATTCTACTACTAATTTAGTTATTTTCTGAGTGAAAATAAGTGGATTTCTAGTATCCCAGCATAAAGGTGTTGGGTTTGTGGTTCAGACTAAGGCTTTGGATTGGAAACTCTTTAAGAACTGTGGCTGACACGATATGAACTTGAATTCTAAAGGAATACATTTCTTAATCAATGACCATTTCTCAGGTATGGGCAGCTCCCCAGCTCAGCTGATCACAGGCTGGGAACAGATGGTTTCTCGTGTTTCCCTGCACTCCTCTTTCTCGTGACTCTCCCAGACTCTGTGTCAAAGAGGACTGGGTCCAGGAGGAAACACGCAGAGCAGTGTCCAAGCCAGGTTTACACTGCAGAAAGGAAAGGACAATCGTTGAGGGAGAGAATGTTGACCTTTGAAATGTAAAGTAGATAAGAAATTCCTAGAGTTTAGGGATTGGCAGGGAGGTACTATGTCAGGTCCTAGGCATCCTGACAGACACAAACAGCTGTGTGAACTGGAATAAACCAGTTTTGCTTTATTCTGGTCCATTAGCAGCCTGAGGAAATTCAACTCAATTGCAATAGCCAATGAATAATAAAGGTAAGTATAAGTAGCTGGAAAGGAAGACTTGTAAACTATCTCTGATGAAATAAGGTTACAAGTGACCATCAGTATATTCAAAAGCAAATACTAAAATGAAAGTATCAGAGATAACAAGGTGAGACAAATGACCAGAAAGCACTTTGTACATACTTTCGTCACTTTTCTCAGGGTATTTCATACTTTGTTTCTCAGTCATTTGCTGACAGATTAGTTTCCTAAGTAAACTATGAATTTCTTAAGGTCTAGAAACTTCTTCATTTATCTTTGCTTCTCTAGCACTCTGCACACAAACTGGGACTTAAATGAGTGACCAAAGATGATATACATATGACCAATGAATACATGAAAAGATGTTCAGCATCACAGATCACTGGGAAGTGCCAATGCAAATCACAGAAAGACACTGTCTTATACCCACTAGAATGGCTACTGTCACAAAACGGAAAACAAGGACTGGCCAGGATGTAGAGAAATTCCTTGTGCATTGTTGGCTGGAATATAAAATGGTGCAGCTACTGTGAAAAACAGGATGGAGGTTCCTCAAAAAATTAAAAATACAATCCAGCAATTATACTTTTACATACATAACCAAAAGAACAGAAAGCAGAATCCTGACAAGGTATTTGCATAACCATGTTCGTAACAGCATTATCCATGATAGCCAAGAGTAGAAGCAACCCAAGTAGCCACTGATGAACAAATAAACATGTGGCGTATTCACATAATGAAGTACCATTCAGCCTTAAATATTCTAGCACATGTTAAGACATGGGTGAAACTTGAAGACATCATGCTAAGTACAATAAGCCAGTACCCAAAAGGCAAATATTGTATAATTCCACCAATATGAATTGCCTAGAATAATCAAACCCATAGAATCAGAAAATAGAATTGCAGTCACCAGAACAAGTTTGGGGAAATGGGGAGTCATTCTGTAATGAGTATAGTCTCAGTGTTGTAGGATAAAAAAGTTTTGGAGATGGTTGCTCAAGAATGGGAGCAGTTTAAGTCTAGTACAGTTGAGTACTGTACACTTAGAACAGGTTAAGATAGTCAATTTAATGTATGCACTTTTTACAACAATAAATATATTTTTAATGAATAAATGAATGTGTAAAGAGTAAGCAACATAAACATATTTATAAAAATAAGTAGGAAATCTGGCAATTTATGATATCTTATGTTTTAATTTATGGGTCAAAAAAATAATAAGTCTAGAGTGCTACCCCATACAGCATTTTCAGCTGTGGGTATGTTGAAAAAACACAGATACCACACGTGCTTGGTATTTGTGGGACCCAGAGGAATACAGTATCCTGTTTAGGATTCTGCAGTTTGAAGAGCTGTGGAAAAAACTTGAATGTCCAGAAAAAAAAAAACATTCAAAGATTTTTAAAAAACCCAGAAAACATGTAAACAATTAATTATTTTAAAGAGGAAAAGGCCAAGAGTCCACTGAGTCTTCCCATTCCGGTTGGATTGTTGCAGCGGACAAGTTCTAACTTCCCAGGTAAAATGGGCTTACACTGCAGTAAGAGAGATTTAAGAAGGTCCACAAAAGACGCCAATGGCAATTTTAGACTTTCTATTAAAGTAGAAGAGTAGAATGCAATGTTCATATGTGCCTGGTATCTGTGAAATTAGATGTTAATTTGCAGATTTCTGTTCATAGAAAAGATAGCACAACACGATTTTATTGCTATGCATCATTATTAACCAGTTTCATATCTAACTGTTCAATCTTATTTCAGCATTCCATGTTTTATTGTCTGTAAGTACTCAGGCTCTCAAATTCCCCTTTTAATTAGATTTATCATCCTATTGGTCCCTTCACTAAAGAGTAAAATAATTAACACTCACTATGGCTGTGTAGGAGTCATGTTTTTAACTTTCTGAAAGTTATACTTTTACCAAACGTTATTATCTGATGATTTCATTAAGATGAAACTTTTGTGATTCAGATAGTAAATGAATATAAGCAAATAAAACTCTTATGGACCGACGTATGTAGCAAAAGAAAATGAGAGTATTAAAAACAAAGTCCCAAAGGACCCCCCACTGACCAAATCGGAGACAATTTATGCTTCCATTTAATAAGGATAATAACATATAACTGAAATAATTAAAATAAGAATCTACTCTGGCTGGTGTAGCTCAGTGGATCAAGCATGGCCTGTGAACCAAGGGGCTGCCTGTTCATTTCCAGTCAGGACACATGCCTGGGTTGCAGGCCAGGTCCCCAGTAGGGACACATGAGAGGCAACCACACGTTGCTGTTTCTCTCCCTCTGTTTCTCCCTCCCTTCCCCTCCCTCTAAAAATAAAGAAAATCTTAAAAAAAAAGAATCCAAGAATACATGCTGATATAAGTAAATGAATGAATAGATGAATGAGGGAGGAAGGAGAGCTCTTCTTCACATTTTAATGTAGAAGCAATAAAGGATATAGAAAATCATGGTTCAAACAATTGATTAATAATTAATTAATCATTAAATAATTAATTTAGGCAAGAATCATTCATGGATGCTTAGATGATGAAAGTTTCATGAGGAACAGGATATTTATATAATCTCAAATATCTCCCCATGAATTAGTCATATATCACAAAGTAGTACAAATTACAAAGGCATATCTTGATATGAGAAGTTATATGTCCCTAGAAAGACATAATTTCTCTTCAACAATATTCCTACTCTAAAATGCAAAACCTAAATCAAAGCAGAAGAAAATCTCAAACTAATCCAAACTGAGGGACATTCTATGGAAGTAACTCACCACTACTCTTTGAGAATATTCATGTCATTTTACGTAGAGAAAAGGGAACTCTTACGCACTGTTGGCGAGAACATAAACTGGCGCAGCCACCATGGAAAACAGTATGAAGGTTCCTCAAAAATTAAAAATAGAAGTACCACAGGACCCAGCAATCCCATATCCATGTATAAATCCAAAAATATTAAAACACAATATCAAAGAGATATCTGCACTCATATGTTCATTGCAGCATCACTGGCAATAGCCAAGGTTGAAAAACGACCAAAGTGTCCATCAATGGTTGAGTGGATAAAGTATGTGCAATGGAGTTTATGCAGCCTAAGAAAATCCATGTTGTTACTATTTGTAACAACATGGATGAACCTTGAGGGCATTATGCTAAGTAAAATAATCCAGACAGAAAAAGAAATACTGTGCAGTCTCATTCACATGTGAAATCCGGAGGAAAAAAAACGGAACACTTAGAGACAGAACAGATTCGTGTTTGCCGGGGCTGGGAGGCGGGGAAAATAAAGAGACGGGTTTGTAAAAGGCTACAAACATTTAGTTTTTAAGATGATTCAGGTCTGAGTACCTAATGCATAACATGGTAACTATAATCGTAACACTGTATTACATACTTGAAATTTCCTGGGCGAGTAGAACTGAAATCTTTTCAATCAAAAAAAACATTTAGGACTTCCGCCAAGATGGAGGCATAAGTGGAAATGCTGTGCCTTCTCTCACAACCAAGTTTAGAGACAACTAAATATTAGCAACAGAAAACACAGCCAGAACACAGAAAATTGAACTTTTCGGAAGTCCAATAACAACAAATTCTTCAACCTGACCGGTAAGAGGGGCGAAACCAGCAGCTGGTGGAGCAGGGTTGCACAGGAAAACTCGGTCAGATGGACTCAGGCGCATGGAACCCAGGCGCAGGGTTGGACCTAGTGAGTGACCGAGCGAGCAACCACGGGGAAACAGTGAGGGAGCAGGGCTGCGGGTTGACTGTGGTCGCGCATTCATGCGCGGATAGACAAGCTATGGAGTGGACAGTGAGACTACAGGACTGAGTGGCAGCACAGGGCGCCGCCATTTCCCAGCTCTGACCACGCCCCCACATACAGCATCACAACCCAGCGACCTGGGAGTCCAAGCCTCTGCTACTCATACTTAACGGGCGAGAACAGACCAAAAATGGCTCAAGAAGATCTCAAAGCCCCAGAGCCTATAAATCTAAGCGATGAAGAAATAGCAAAACTCTCAGATGCACAGTTTAAAACAGTGGTGATCAGGATCCTCACAGAACTGGTTGATTATACCGACAAATTAGACAAACATATGAAGGCGAAACTAATGGAAATGAATGGAATTGCACAGGAAACCAATAGCGATGAAAAGGAAACTGGGACTCAAATCAATGGAGTGGACCAGAAGAAAGCAAATAATGACCAAACAGAAAAGAGTCAAGAAGCAAGAATTCAAAAAAATGAGGAGAGTCTTAGGAACCTCCAGGACATCTTTAAACACTCCAACATCCGAATTATAGGGGTACCAGAAGGGGAAGAGGAACAGCCATGAGTGGAAAACTTATTTGAACAAATAATAAAGGAGAATTTCCCCAATCTGGCAAAGGAAATAGACTTCCAGGAAATCCAGGAAGCTCAGAGAGTCCCAAAGAAGTTGGACCCAAGAAGGAACACACCAAGGCACATCATCATTACATTAGCCAAGATTAAAATGAAGGAGGGAATCCTAGAAGCACCAAGAGATAAGGGGACAGTCACCTATAAAGGAGTTCCTATCAGACTGTCAGAGGATTTCTCAAAAGAGACCTTACAGGCAAGAAGGGGATGGAAAGAGGTATTCCAAGTCATGAAATCCAAAGACCTACAACCAAGATTGCTCTATCCAGCAAAACTTTCATTTAGAATGGAAGGACAGATAAAGCACTTCTCAGATAAGATCAAATTCAAGGAGTTCATCATCACCAAGCCCTTATTATATG